CAATATCCCATGTCAGTTCTTGCAATGAGTTCATGAATTGCTATCAGTGCGTGTTACCATGAGTGTTACTGTGATCGATATCTTTCTATCTGACTCTATTTGGAACTTAGGAGCATCTCTAACTTTTTCCATACTTGATATAATAATTATTATTCTTATTTACTTATTTCAAACTAATACCAGCAATAATAAATCTTTCACTATTATAGATTTTTTAAAAGTTTTTTTGTATCTCTCAAAATTTCTTTTGAGGACTAGTAAGGCTAACCTGAAAAATTGTTTGGATGCGCATAATATAAAAAGTGATTTATAATGATCATTTTACGCACCTATCATTACTCTTGTTTATTTTGTTACTCTTGTTGCTTTAATTTGGTTCAGTATTTCCAGTTCATGTGCTTTTTTGTATCATAAGGTTTTAGCTAAAACAGTAGAATATACATTTAATTACCCTTTAATTAAAAATGTTTTCTAGGGGTGGGAGCGACAGTACAGCAAGTAGGGTGGTTATCTCTGCACACAGTCAACTCAGTCTGTATGTCTGGCGCTTTATATAAAATATCAAGTATCTCCATGAGGAATTCCTGAACACAGAGCCAGGAAAAAGCCCTAAGAACAGCTGGATGTGGCAAAAACAAAAAGTCTATATTTTAACTTTGCTCCACACATTTTATTTTCTTTCTATAAAATTGAGTTTGTTACTTTATAGGTTTTTGGACCAAACCTAGAGATTCCCAGGGGTTATGCTTGGCTCTGCACTCAGGAATTACCCCTGACAGTGCTTGAGGGACCATATGGAACGCTGGGAATTGAACCTTGTTTGGCCACATGCACGGCAGTACACTTGCTCTGATCCCCACACTTTTCCTTGAGTACTGTACCTTTTATATTTTAGCTTTTCTAGGAAAAACTTATCACTCAATAGAAATAAATTTCTATATATATGTATTTTTTTATATTTTGGGTCAGAGAGATAGTACAGCTAACCTGTGTTTAATCCTTAAGACCATATATGGTCTTTGAAGGCTTGTCAGGTCACGAGCACTGCCAGATATGGCTCAAAAAACAAGCAAACAGAAAATCACATTTACTCATACACTTCATTCATTTTAGTTTTCTTTTTCCTTTTTTTTCCTCCTTTACTTTTTGGGTCACACCTAGTTATGCTCAGTGTTTACTCCTGGCTCTGCACTAAGGAAACACTCCTGGTGGGGTTAAGGAGACCATTTGGGATTCCAGGGATTGAACCTGGGTTGGTCTTGTGCAGAGCAAACACCCTCTACACTGTACTATCACTCTAACCCTCCAAACTATGCGTATTCTTTTTCCTTGATGTCTACTTTATTTGGCTTCTTTCCGTTTAAGATTTGCTCGAGCGGGCCCAGTAACGTCTCCATTAGAGACTTTTGTTGTTACTGTGTCTGGCATATCGAATACTCTCGGTAGCTTGCCAGGCTCTCCGAGAGGGGCGGAGGAATCGAACTCGGGTCGGCCATGTTGGCCGCTTGTAAGGCGAACTCCCTACCCGCTGTCCGTTTAAGATGTTACCATATTTTGCCCTTTTAATTTGAATCTGTTATACCTGTTATGGACTGGAGCAATAGCACAGCAGGTAGGACATTTGCCTTGTGAGAAGCCAGCCTAGCAGAGTCGAGTTCGATTCTTCAGCCCCTCTTGGAGAGCCCAGCAAGCTACCGAGATTATCTCACCTGCACGGCAATGCCTGGCAAGCTCCCTGTGACGTATTCGATATGCCAAACACAGTAACAAGTCCCACAAAGGAGATGTTACTGGGCAGCGTGCGAGCAAATTGATGAACAATGGGAGGACAGCGACAGTGATACCTTTTATAATCTTTTTCATTTCTGATAAATAGCTATGTTTCCCACAGACATAGTTTTTTCAGGGTTCTGTGAATTTTGTTATGCAAAGTAAAAAAGTACATGACAAAATTCTTATACCTGCAAATGTCACTGTATGACTTCATATGTAAATGCTAAAATACATTTATTTTGAAAATTAAGTTGTGCCATTCTCTTATTAAAATCAATTCATTGTTATCAATATAGTTCTACTTTCATGAGAATTATTTTTTTAAATATATGCATATGTGATTTATTTCTTTTTGATTTTGTTCGTTGTTGCTATATTGTGGGGTGCACGCTTGATGGTAATGGGGCATGTAGTACCAGGGCCACCCTCAGTGGCTTTAGGGGTCAGACAGTGACAAGGATCAAACACAGGAATTTGCACATGCAAAACACATGCAGATTCTATATATACCAAGCCATATCCCAAGCCCAAATCATTGTGGTATTTTTTTGTGTGTGTGTTATTTTCTTTTTGGGTCATACCTGGCGATGCACAGGGGTTACTCCTGGCTCTGCACTCAGGAATTACTCCTGGTGGTTCTCAGGGGACCATATGGGATGCTGGGAATTGAACCCAGGTCGGCCATGTGCAAGTCAAACTGCTCAGTGCGTACTCCGTTGTGCTATCATTTCAGCCCAGCCCATATCAATAACATACAAATAGTTGTAATTATGTTTACATCCTAAAATTAACATATTTTTGAAGTTCTGTATTATGCAATGATTGTGGAAAATATATCTTCACTAGTCCCTCTGTTCTACTTTCTCTATTAGTTTTCTGTTTCTCTGATATTCCTGAAAAGAGAAGATTTCACTACCACCCACGAGACCACTTACTTAAGTGCTTGCTGTATAAACAGGAGTTGGAACTCCTGTTTCTGGGATTATTTGCTTTAGTTCAGTTTTTTAAAAAATTTATTGATCATTTTATTTCTTTCACCCTGCTATATTACTCATTTTTCATATTCATCATTTTAACTAGTTTATTTTACATGCAACTCACTTCTCATATTCATCATTTCTACCAGTTTTTCAAGCTCGGAATTTCTACTTTTTTAAATGTTTTTGTGCACATTCTACTTGCTAAACTCGTTCTTTTGTATACCCATCAATCTTGTTTGAAAATTATACTTATCTCAAGTAGTTTATGTGTTCAATTTTCCTTTGCTCTCTATAGTAATTGTAATCTTGGGATGCCTTTTGGTTTCAATGCGAAATACCATATTTTATTAGGAAGATCAACTGTTTAACTTGAAAAAATCAGATATTTAGGCACTCAGACGATAGGTGTAAAGCCCTCTGCATTAATATCCTTTGGTGCCAAAGATTCATCTTTGGTTATTTTCTTCTTGTTACACAACTGTTCCAAAAGCTCCTATTCTGAGAAATTTATCTTCTAACTTTGAGAGAAAACACTGTTAAGATATAGTGCTCATAGGTTTGAATCTATGAGTCCTCCCTGTTATGAGAAAAAAAAAACACCTCTTACTAGTTTGAAATGGAAAACTGAAGGAATAACAATAAAATGAGTGTGAATATGTAAGTCATTTCACTCCAACTGGGTGTTTGCGCTATACTGAAATATTCCCACTGACAAAATCTTTTGAAAATAATTATTTTGACAGGGAAAGGCATTTGTTAGTCACTTGGAGCGGGTAGTCATAAAATGAAGAACAAATCTGCAAATTTGGAACTTGCTTTCAATGGCGTCTAGTTCATTTTAATAGCCACCTAAAGCCAGTATGAGAATCTATGGCCTTCCCAGTAATTTATCACATTATTTTTTGTTTAGTTTCTCTTTTCTAAATAGAACTCACTACCATTACACACTGAAGGATGCAACTTTTTGTTAACACTATTCACTACTTTATTCACATCACTGGAACAATGTCCACCACATCATAATACCAGGGAGAGAAATATAGCAATAAAATTATCTCTATAAATTTGTCAGAAGAATAAGTGGATAAATTAAAGATTGAATCATAAAAGAAAAGATAAAAAAAGTTTTTGACTATTATGAATATATTCCTTTTCAGGAAATGTAAGCTTCTGTGATAATAAAAAAATAATGTATTTTAAGAGGAAAAATAGGTTTGACTGTGAGCTTAAAATGACAACATATATTCTAGATTAATAATAATCAGGCTAAGTATTTAATAAAATTTAAACTTGGAGACTTCGTGAGTTAGAATAAGAAAATTGGAATGCAATCACATAAAGTCTAGTAGAATGAAATTATTAGGTCAGCTATTTTAATTAAAATATAATTTGAAACCATCCTTATTTTCAAAATCCAATTCTGGGATTACATTTTAAAGCAAAATATGTTCTTCATAATTTTACTCTATCACAAAACATATTGATATTTATGAAATTCAGTATATATATAAATAAAATAGATACACCTTTATGTGTGTTTATCACCCTATCACAAGCATCTTTTGAAATGGATTTTAATTGAGAATCTGAAACAGGAATAGAATATTTGTATATATTAATTTAAAAGTTATAGTGTATCCAATCTTTATAATTTGAAAGCAAACTAATTCTTTTGGAGTTTCCTGGTAACTAATAAATATTTTCTCAAATTAAATGATAGTCTTGACTAAAAGGTCTGAGTAAATAATAGAATTATTGTCAACTTTACCTTTACAGATGAAGGATAAGACAATTTTAAGTAAAACTTGAGGGAAAGACAGTCGGAATATGTTTTGTGTGTTTTCAGTGAATTCTCCACTGAAGTCCTTAAACATTTCTCTCACCAACAATTTCTGATTAATATAGAAACATTGAAAAGAGATTCTGAGGATATCATTCAATGTCAGTTGGAATGAAATGAAATGGCCTAAGGCATTTGAAGGGAATGATGACTTATGTATGATGCATTATTTGATACTCTATACATCCATACATGTGTAATATGCTGGTTTCTTAGAAAAAATTTATCCCACTGACAATCCTGATAAAATATTTGACATTAGCATTTTTATGGTGATTGTGTGTGACAATGTCTCTTGGATATATGTACTGAAACATAACTTGACATATACTTAGCTATAGTGATATTTTAGAGAAGGCTGTTGATGAGTACTTACATATTTTGACCAATTTTTGTTTTAATTCCAGCAGGAAAAGACTCAAGAGAGCTCAAGAATCAAAGGTAAGAAATGGCTGTTTTAAGATCATAGCTTCTTAAGTTCATGTAAGTGTAGAACAGAACAAAAGACATGATGACACTTTGAAAATCCTTTTAGAAACAGGAAGGTATTGTATTCAAAATCTCCAGTGTCCTTTTTTCTCTACTTCCCATTGCTTTGGCTATGCAGTGATGACCAACGGTGAACACTCTTGGCTGTGGTGGTTACTAGAGGGTGCACAGTTTAAGGGACATTCCCACAGATAAGTGTTGGGCATCAAACTTGTCTTATGGTTGCAAGGCAATTGCTCTGCCATTGAGCTACATCCCTAGCCACACTAAACTTGATTTGCATGCAACACTGAGCCTTTGGAGAATTTCCAAAGCCTATGGAAACTTATTATTGTGATTTCCTTTCTTCATTTGGTGTTGCTGTATATTATTATTCTTTTAAAAATTGAATTTACTAGATCATTCTTGTGAAATTCCTTCCTAAGTATTGAGCCTAAGAGTTGTTATTCAGAGGTTCCAGAGTTAGTACTATGTGGAATGCTTCTGTTGCACATAGCCAACCCAGATTCAATTCCTATCTGGTCCCCTGAGTCCCATCAGGAGTGATAGCCCTGAGCACAGAGCCAGGATTAAGCCTTGGCAGTGGTAGGGGTGTACCTCCTTCCCCCAAACAAACAATTAAAAAAAAGAGAGTTGTACCATAAGTTAGCATACTAACGTTTCCAAAATATATCTCATGGTTAATTATTTGCTCATTAATGTCTCTTTCTCTTCGCTACACAAAAGCAAGAGAATTTTATTTACATATTAATAATGGTTTATTTTCAGTCAATACTTTTATTATCATATTATTAATAATAATAAAACAGAAATTGTCATAGTACAGTGATAAGGAACCTGCCTTTTCCCTGAAAGCTTGTTCCATCCCTGTGCTCAGGCATATTCCTGGCACCACGCTCAGAGATAAGTCCTAGTGATACTCAAGGCACCATATTATTAAAGGGATTGAACTGGGTCAGCTAGATGCATCAGGAAGGCCTTATCCACTATATTATCTCTTGTCACTTCAAAGAATTATGTATGAAAAAAAATTCTGGAAATTTCAAAATTATGTTTTTAACTTGGCAAATTAAAGTATGTCTTGCAGTACTATACTAACTTATCCTCCAACCACTCTAATCAGTTCAATTATATAACATAACGGGTAGGGCATTTTCCTTGCACACAGCCAATACGTGTTGAATTCCTCCACCCCTCTCGGAGAGCCCGGCAAGCTACCAAGAGTATTCTGTGCCCACATCAAAGTCTGGCAGACTATCCGTGGCATATTTAATATGCCAAAATCAGTAACAACAATTCTCACAATGGAGACGCTACTGATGCCCCCTCGAGCAAATTGATGAACAATGGGAGGACAGTGACAGTGACAGTCATAAAGGGATTCCATATAATATTTTTATTTACATAATATTCACAATGCTTTATAGTAAAAATGAGTTTACTATTTATTTGTGCTCCATTCTGTTGTATACTACTAACTCATGTTTTAGAAGAAATTCTATTTTTCCAAATACTGCCTGAAAATATGCTTTCCTTATGATGTAAAATATTTCAAGATGATGTTTGTCATCTTTTTAAGTTGAAATTTTGTATTATAGCTTTAAGACTAATTATAGGAATTTTTTTATCTGGTTTTATAGTTACTTTGCCTTACTGGAAATTAATTTGATTATGTAAAATGTTTTGAACATCAATATAAAAAGATAAAAAAAGGAAAAAATGAGTGATAAAGGTAATACTTTACCATTTACAAAAAATCCCAAGCTAGCTGTTTTATTTTACTTTATTTATTTACATATTTTGATTTGGGGGCCATACATTAAGGTGCTCAGGGCTCATTACTGGCTCTCCACTAAGGGATCACCTCTGGAAGGGCTCAGGGGACTATATGTGGTGCTTGAATTAAATCTTGGATAGCTGCATACAAGGCAGGAGGTCTACCCACTATACTATCGCCTTGGCACAAAGTCACCTATTTTATATTTCTTGTTGGTTATTGAATATTAACTTTGTTCTCATTTTATCTTAATAATGAATTCTCAACTGTATTTATCTCTGCTCTGAGTTATTGATAATCACATTTACAAAAACACGTTTATTACATTATCATGTTTTTAAAATTACATTATCATGAATAAATCTAGAGGAAGTATTTTATCTAATTTTTTAAATATGTGCCTGTTTCTGCTTATGGCAAAAGTCATTACCTCATAATGCCAGTGATATGAAATTACATTAATGCACACAGCATGCAATCAAATTTTTCTTTCCTTTATGCATAAATATAAATATATATATGTATTGTATGTATATTCACTTTGAAACTTTTTATTCTCTGAGTACTTAAGTGACAGTTGCACATGCTCTTATTTTATTATTTTGAAATGCTATGAAATAAATGTATTTCATATTTTATGTTATAATTTTATTACATTTGATTGTCAACTTAAATTTTGGTTTAATAATTACAGTTATATGATTCTCAACTGATTTTACTGTTGATATTGCCTATTGATAAAATTAGGTAGAAATTAGTATTTTTTAATAATTATAATTGAGGTATATTTTTAATTTATTGTTTTATATATTTAACAAAGATTAACTTAAAATTCTGTTGTTATTTTAAGAACCTGTGACAAACTTAAAAATCAGCTGTAAGTTTTGATGTCTATGCTTTATAAGTTATATATGTGTATATGTGTATATTTTATATAAAATCAGTACACTTCCATGTCATAAATTAGCTGTTTTTCAGTTATAATTACATATATTAAAGACAAAAGAATTGTGTTTAAAATAAATTGATGTTTATAATTATTTTATGAATAATTTTCTTTCAATAATAATCCTATTAAAAGATGCACAATAATGCTATTGCCCCTGCAGAAATTTTTCAAAGTAGACACATCAGTCCATAACTTAAACATATACTATAAAGTGATAAGTAAAATAAAACAGTATAATATTGGATAAAAATTAGTGACAAGGAACAATGGAATACTACTGAAACCTAGAAATAAATATATAGACATGGGCATTTAGTGTGCAACAGTTGAATCAATATCATGCAATGGAGAAGTCAAAATATCTTCAACAAATGATGATATAATAAATAAACTATAAATGGAAAAGAAGAAGAAAGGAGGAAAGAAGAAGGAGGGTGAGGTTGAGGTTTGAGAGAATAATAATATTTTTATTAATATTAAAGATAACAGATGGATATATAGGAGCTCAATTTCTAAGTTGATAAATGTCCATTCTTAGCATAAACCTTAAACCACTCGACCTTCCCACCAGCAGTGAATGTGTTATTTTACCCACATCCATGCCAACATTGGTTATTTGTGCTCTTTGTTATGTGTACCATCTCACTGGCATGATATTATATTCCATTGTAATTATTTTCATTTTCTTTATAATAAGTGATACAGAGAGGATTTTCATATAGGGTTTGACAATAGGTATGTCTTATTTGAGAAAGATTCTGTTCATCTCTCTCATTCTGATTTTTAATGGAGTTGGGTTTACTTGGATTGTTAAGCTCTTCTAGTGCTTTATATAGCATAAATTTCAACCCTTTGTCAGATGAGTTGTGGAAAAATATTTTCTCTCAATCTGTGGGGTGTCTTTTTTTTATATTTATCCTTTCTTTGGCAGTGCAGAAGTTTCTTGGTTTGATATAGTCAACTTACTTATCTTTGTTTCCATTTGATTGGCCAATGGTACTAACTCATTGATGATATCTCTAGATTCAATGTCATGAAGTATTCTATATTTTCCTCAAGATAATTTATGGATTCAGTCTCGATATTGAGATATTAAATCCATTTAGGTCTGACTTTAAGGAAATGGTGATAAAAAGAAGTATTCATTGTTTTGCATGTGACCAACAAATTTTCCCAGAATCATTTGTTGAGAAGGTTTTCTTGCTCACAATCGTGGTTTTTCCTCTTTATTGAATAATAACTGTCTATATATTTGAGTATATATCTCTGGTTCGTCAAGTCTTTCTCTGTGGTCTGAGATTTTTTCTTTATCCCACTATCACACTGTTTTGATTATCACAGTTTATAGTATAGTTCAAGATGGGGATAAAGGATAGTTCCATCTTCTATTTTTCTAGAATGTCTTGGCTATTTCGGGTGGTAGTTATTACTCCTAATAAATTTCAAAAGTGTTTGATTAAATTAAAATGATTATTCAAAAAAAGACATTTTCACTCCTATATTCATTGCAGCACTATTCACAATAGCCAAAATCTGTAAAAACAAACCAAGTGTCCAAGAACAGTACTTGGATTAAAACAAAAACAAAAACCAAAAAAAAAAAAAGCAAATACTCAAACTATGGTGCATATACACAATGGAGTATTACTCAACTATAACAAAAAGCAAAATTGTGCAATTTGATGCTATGTGTATGAATCTGAAAAGTATTATACTTACTGAAGTTAGTCAGAAGGCAAGGCCTGTACAGAATTATCTCCATTGTAGGTGGGATATAAAGAAATATATTAAGGAAATAAAAAATGCCCAAAGGAAAAATAAACTGAGAACTGGTTTCTAATAGGAAGCTTAAGAAGGCTACAGGAATGCAAGGTGGAGGGTTACTCTGAGACAGTGGTGGCTCATTGACTCAGAGGAGCATTTGGGCTCGACTATTTTATGCACGAAGCAGTAGTGAAGTCACATGTAAAACTTAGAAAATTACAATTAACTTCTGAAAAACAATTATGTAGGTAATGAAGGAACATACTTTTTTGTAAAAAGAAGAAAGTGCGGTCACTTAGATACAGAATTAACACAAAATGATTTAGGTACTTCAGTGTAAGTCCAGAAATCATAATACACAGAATACACTGTGATGTACTGAAAATTGCTACAAACTTGAAGTTTCATAAGATCTCTGGACATGTCTATTGTTAGAAATTATTGTCTACTAGCAGGAGCAGT